GCGAAATCTGTCCAGGAGATCGGAGGGAACCCTGTTTAATGACTTGTTCGTGGTGTCTGGTCTCACATAGAACAAATGGAAAGGCGATCAGTCCTTGTTCTGGAAAATAAGACGGCATCTCACCAGGGTCCTGGGACGGGGAGGAGAGAGCAGGGGGGGGAGCAGCTGCGCCGGCTCCGTTTCGCTCCATGAAAATCTCCTCCTTGAAAAACGGGCAGGGTTTCTGGTGGAAGATTTCACACGGAAGCTGCACCGTAACGTCCAGCTGCCCCTCACCCCTCAGGACCTGCGAGTGAGGCAAGGCCAGCCGAGGTTTTAATTTTGTTAAATTAGCGTGAACCAGGTAAGGACTGGGCAGAGCTTACCGCCTACACAGACGGCCAGAGAGGACTGACACAGACAGACAGACGGCCCAAAGAAGACTGAGCCACAGACAGACAGGCAGAGAGGACTGACATAGACAGACGGACAGAGACGACCGACACAGACAGACAGCCAGAGAGGACTGACGCAGACAGACGGCCAGAGAGGACTGGCACAGACAGACAGACGGCCCAAAGAAGACTGAGCCACAGACAGACAGGCAGAGAGGACTGACATAGACAGACGGACAGAGACGACCGACACAGACAGACAGCCAGAGAGGACTGACGCAGACAGACGGCCAGAGAGGACTGGCACAGACAGACAGACGGCCCAAAGAAGACTGAGCCACAGACAGACAGGCAGAGAGGACTGACATAGACAGACGGACAGAGACGACCGACACAGACAGACAGCCAGAGAGGACTGACGCAGACAGACGGCCAGAGAGGACTGGCACAGACAGACAGACGGCCCAAAGAAGACTGAGCCACAGACAGACAGGCAGAGAGGACTGACATAGACAGACGGACAGAGACGACCGACACAGACAGACAGCCAGAGAGGACTGACGCAGACAGACGGCCAGAGAGGACTGGCACAGACAGACAGACGGCCCAAAGAAGACTGAGCCACAGACAGACAGGCAGAGAGGACTGACATAGACAGACGGACAGAGACGACCGACACAGACAGACAGCCAGAGAGGACTGACGCAGACAGACGGCCAGAGAGGACTGGCACAGACAGACAGACGGCCCAAAGAAGACTGAGCCACAGACAGACAGGCAGAGAGGACTGACATAGACAGACGGACAGAGACGACCGACACAGACAGACAGCCAGAGAGGACTGACGCAGACAGACGGCCAGAGAGGACTGGCACAGACAGACAGACGGCCCAAAGAAGACTGAGCCACAGACAGACAGGCAGAGAGGACTGACATAGACAGACGGACAGAGACGACCGACACAGACAGACAGCCAGAGAGGACTGACGCAGACAGACGGCCAGAGAGGACTGGCACAGACAGACAGACGGCCCAAAGAAGACTGAGCCACAGACAGACAGGCAGAGAGGACTGACATAGACAGACGGACAGAGACGACCGACACAGACAGACAGCCAGAGAGGACTGACGCAGACAGACGGCCAGAGAGGACTGGCACAGACAGACAGACGGCCCAAAGAAGACTGAGCCACAGACAGACAGGCAGAGAGGACTGACATAGACAGACGGACAGAGACGACCGACACAGACAGACAGCCAGAGAGGACTGACGCAGACAGACGGCCAGAGAGGACTGGCACAGACAGACAGACGGCCCAAAGAAGACTGAGCCACAGACAGACAGGCAGAGAGGACTGACATAGACAGACGGACAGAGACGACCGACACAGACAGACAGCCAGAGAGGACTGACGCAGACAGACGGCCAGAGAGGACTGGCACAGACAGACAGACGGCCCAAAGAAGACTGAGCCACAGACAGACAGGCAGAGAGGACTGACATAGACAGACGGACAGAGACGACCGACACAGACAGACAGCCAGAGAGGACTGACGCAGACAGACGGCCAGAGAGGACTGGCACAGACAGACAGACGGCCCAAAGAAGACTGAGCCACAGACAGACAGGCAGAGAGGACTGACATAGACAGACGGACAGAGACGACCGACACAGACAGACAGCCAGAGAGGACTGACGCAGACAGACGGCCAGAGAGGACTGGCACAGACAGACAGACGGCCCAAAGAAGACTGAGCCACAGACAGACAGGCAGAGAGGACTGACATAGACAGACGGACAGAGACGACCGACACAGACAGACAGCCAGAGAGGACTGACGCAGACAGACGGCCAGAGAGGACTGGCACAGACAGACAGACGGCCCAAAGAAGACTGAGCCACAGACAGACAGGCAGAGAGGACTGACATAGACAGACGGACAGAGACGACCGACACAGACAGACAGCCAGAGAGGACTGACGCAGACAGACGGCCAGAGAGGACTGGCACAGACAGACAGACGGCCCAAAGAAGACTGAGCCACAGACAGACAGGCAGAGAGGACTGACATAGACAGACGGACAGAGACGACCGACACAGACAGACAGCCAGAGAGGACTGACGCAGACAGACGGCCAGAGAGGACTGGCACAGACAGACAGACGGCCCAAAGAAGACTGAGCCACAGACAGACAGGCAGAGAGGACTGACATAGACAGACGGACAGAGACGACCGACACAGACAGACGGACGGACAGAGAGGACTGACACAGACAGACGGCCCAAAGAAGACTGAGACACAGACAGACAGGCGGCCCAGAGAGGACTGACAGCCAGAGAGGCGCCCGCAGGAGGGAGGGAGGCCGTCCCGTGGCTCGTGGAGCTGCCAGAGCTGCTGTGCGAAGCCTGGTTGTTCTGACCTGGAGCAGTGAGGCTCCCACCTGTGGGTCACGCCCTGTGCTGTTGATGGAGGGTTTCTGGGCGGAAGGGGCTAGGAACCTTCTGGAATTCTCACATCCATCGTGGTGAGTGGATGGCTGGATTCATGTTCTCATGCACAGTGTCCGCATTTGTGAGCGCATGTTCGACATTGATCAGGTCAGCGATCGGGCCAAGAGTCCTGCGGTTTTCCTCCGACCTCAGCAGGAAAGCCCATTCCCCGGAGTTTGCCCCCCCCAGGGGGGGGGGGGGGTGCGGGGCACCTAGTGATGGCTCGGTGTGGGTGGGGCAGCGTCTGGCTGGAAGTCAGCCTGCACGCCTGTGCGCGGTGGGGAAGCGGGCCTCCGGCTCTGGCTCGGGGTCTGTGACGGGGGTTTCACTGTGCTGGTTGTGACGTGCGCCTGTGTGTGGGACCCTGATTCCCTCCGCGGTCTCTCCGGCTAAATCAGGCCGTTGACATAAATTACATTTTGGATGAAAGCTCTAAAAATGTACGGTTCTCTGTATTTTTATTCAGAACAAGGTATGATACTGATTTGAAATCTTTCCTTAATGCAAATGTATTCCCTTCAGTTCACACCTGGACGCTTTATTGCCAACCTCTGTTCCCCCTGGCGGCTGTCAGTCATGCCAAGTGCACCGAGAGCGCCGGCACAGGGCAGCTCGCACAGCTCCGTGCCCTCGCCACGGGAAGGGTGGACAGAGGGCGGCAGCCTGGGACAGCGGTCATGACCCAGGACTCCCTCCGGGTCACAGTCGGGGGAGCGGCTGCTCAGTGCTGAGCAGGGCCCACGGCCTGGCAGCAGGAATTCACCCGGGTGGGAGGGGCTTCTCCCCAGGGGACCCGCACTGGGTGGGCGCCAGGAGCCGCCATGGTGATGAGGTGGCCCCTTGGCAACGTGGAGGTTTGCCCTAAATTTCAAATGTGGGTGCGCTCAGCCCAGCAGTTTTACCTAAGAAAGAGGTGAGTGTCTGAGGGCGCACACACGCGTGGACTTCCGTGGCTTATTTCAACTGGAAAGGCTTCCGACTGGAGGCAGGGCCCCGACTCCTGTGGAAGGAAGTCACAGTGGCCTAATGTGCCTGTCGCCCCACCCACTGGGTGAGGACAGTGTGTTTTCTTTGTGTCTTTGCGCGGAGGGAAGTGTCCGTGTTCACAGATGAGCAAGCTAAAGGGATGCGCGTGAAGTACATCTATGCCAGAGGGTGATATCGGTGTCGAGAGAGGGGGGCGCTTGGTGCACCTCCATAGCTTTAAAATTCCCTATCACACTGTAACTTTGAAATTTAAAACCATGCTGTTTTAGGGGAAAGAAAGAAACCCAAGCCAGAGATTTTGGAGGATTCTAGCCCAAACCAGTCGCCTGTGGGCCCTGGAGAAGCAGCGCCTCCAGGCCGGCCACCCCCC